TTCTACATATCTGAGATTTCAAAAGTAGAATTGTCTATAAGTTTAACTTTTTTCTTTTCCATGTGTAAAAAGAAATAAAGCTGTCTGATTAAGAAGGCAAAAGTTGAGAGCAAGCTTAGGGCTCAGCATGAACCTATATCCCTGTGTGTATATTTGCATAAATCTTCCCATTCACATTGCCACTGTTATTCTTGGATCCAGCTGTTTTACACTCATTGCCAGATGGCACTTTTATGTACAATTCTAATCAAGTACAATACGTAACACAGTATTGGAAAAAATTAGCTATTTAGGAATAACTACACTGGTGCCTCTGAAAATAAACTCCAAAAACTGGAAAACACATGTGAGTAGAACATATAAAGTAAATTGTGAGTGTTTTAATGTTTACACCTTGCCATTGATGGGTTCTATTATTTCTACATTGACGTCAGTTTTTAGTGAAGGGACTCCAGTAAATGAGGTAAACTTCAAGAGAGAGAATAATAATAACGGGTCATTAGAAAGCAAGCTCTTTGGCAAAAAATAAATTAAATTTCTGTGCCTCAAAAGCAAAGTTTATATCTATGGTTGCATATTACATTGCATTGCACCCCAGCAGAGAAAACAGAACAAGAGTAGAAAAGGATATTAACATCCTAAACAGTTTCCTTGCTACTGACATAACAAGAAATAGAAAATGGGAGCCCTGAGGTACCAGTTTAGTGAGAAATTGAGTTCTCTGCTAGTGTTTTCACTGACCATGCCTAAAGATGATAATGGTAAACAAATGTTACTCTCTACTCTGAGTCACTAACTCAGTACAATATGCAGAGGTCAGGAAGACAAATGGAAATGAAAATAGACAATGCATCTTTAATGCTGATGTAAATAGAACTCGGAGAATTACTTCTATATGTATTTGTTAAAATACCTTTTACATGCAGAAAAATAAACAGAAGTGGATGCAGGAAGGAGGAAGGTTGTGCAAACTACTTATAAAAAAAGTATGGAAAATGAGAAAGTATTGCCAGGTATCAAGCTCTCTGTTCTTCTGCAGCACGTTCACCAGACTCTAGGGAACCATCTAAAGAGTGCACATCAAGTTAGATTTTCCTCTGAAGAATGAAGGATAATTCCATATTTCCTTACCTTGAAGAATTAAATGATGACAAATTTTAAAGGAAATGTGAATTAGAAAAGAATTATTATTAGGATATATAATGCTATTCTGTACTAAAGCAGATCACTTTCTTAATCAAAACTTTTCTAACTAAATGCTTATGACTTCTTTGAATGTTCTGCTTTTATTGAAACTAAAAATGGAAGACAGACGTTCAAGTGAAGGAATCTCTAAAAATAAAAATTTGATTATTTGGTTATTCGTTACCTAGAGATCAAAATAATTGTGAGGGTGATATTTATAATACCTCTTCGGCAAATGTTTCACATTTAACTGCTATTTCCAGTACTGAAAAACACCATTGTCCAAGAAAACAGTATTTCATGAAGGAGATTCAACAAATAAAGGAAGGAAGGAGTCTAGTCCTTATTACTAAGTGAAACATTTCCTATCAGGGTGTGACCAGATTTAACTGACAGGGATACCGAGACAGTAATTTCTCAGTTAAATAAATCCCCTGCTTCAGGACTGAAATCTTCCAATAGTTGCTACCAAGCATCAGTGAAAGTGTACATACGCACTTTAAAGAAAAATATTCAATATACATCTTGTGGTACTAGGAGACAACGATTCAAGTTGGTGGCTTGTAAAAAGTAGAAGCATTGAATAAAAAACAGAATAATTTTAATTAAGAGTATTGGAATAAAAAACAGAATAATTTTAATTAAGAGTTAAATAATCCTTATAGTTTTCAAATTGAATAACCTTCATTTTTTCCACCAAGAATGATTATTTTTGAGATTTTGTTTAGAACCTTTCTTAAAAGGTGAGTTAAATACTGCTTTTTACTAAGAAAAGTCAATTCAGATTAAAGTAGATGTATTGGATCAGAACTGTGCCTATATTTTATAATGATGTATGGTGCAGAGATCCTTAAGTTTGTGCCAGAACCAGAATTAGTACAGACATGTTGTATAGCAACACAAAATTGCTAAATTGGCTCTGCCAATTTAGTCTGTAGGACTAGATGGTATGGAGGATACTATGTTGATGAAACTGCACTATTTTCTGACCTCAGATCTCTCCAAATAGCGTTGCACTGGACATACCATTTCATGTGGCACTAGCCTGGGAGAGTGCCTGTTAGAGCGGTGAACTGGGTAGCATAGAAATAGTCTTAGTTTACCCTCCTCTCACAGCTGTGACAGAACTCACTTCGCCTCCAGTCACCTTCTTCCTATCATGAATACAGCAGAGGGAGCAATGGGTAGTATCTTCACTATGAGCCTTATTGACTTCCTCAGCATTTTCCACTAGAACTGTTCGTGACACACATTCTTGCCTGACAAAACTCAGTGGTCTTTCCACTCTTTTCCCTTCTGTCACCATCTAATAAAGTGGTGGTGTTATTCCCATCTTTTTTGATGTCCATTATGTATGAAGTTCCTTTGTGGACATATCTGCCATTGCATCCGCAAAACCACTGACAGATTAAGAGTCTTGAATGAGTAGATCACCGGCATTTTGTTTTAGATAAATGCTTATGCTAGTACTCATCAGCTTTGAATTGAAGACATGATTTTTGTCACTCTATGCATAAGATGGAATGACAGCTAAGTGTCCATGGCATGTGGAATACAACAGCTATAGAATGCATTGTCAAGGGAAAGCACACAATGGTATATGACACCATCTGTTTGGTGTGTGCAGTAGATCCTGTTTGTCTCCACTGCTCCCAGCCAAGCCATCTTCTGCGTTGCTCCAGTTGTTTTTTTGAGGATATCACAAGCCTTCCTCTCACCCTACCTAAATTATTTCCTGTTTGACCAAACTCTAAAAGGAATGAGTTTTACTAATCATGCACTTGGGGATCTTAAATAGACTGATCTTTCACCACATTTGAGTCTGCATTGCTGAAATGGGTGTCAGGTCATCTCCTAACAGAGGATTAAAGCAGAATTTTTCACTTCAGGGATATATCTGGGGAGTTTCTACCCTGAATTCTAACCTGAATTTTGTAAATACTAATGAGTATTAAAAAAAAACCAACAAAAAAACAAACCAAAAAAACCCACCCCAAAAAATCTCACATATGTGTGGGAAGAAAGTAGCCTAAGAGAGAAGGGGGAGAAAACAAAGGAAAAGTGTGAAAGTAGAGTATATTAACTTGAGGTTACTGAATTTAAACTGCAGCAGGGAGTTGTATGTTGGCTGAAACCCCAGAGAAACCTACAGTTAAAACACTTTTCTACCTCCATTGACAGAGTAGCCAATAAGCAGGTAGCAGTACGTGGATTATGTGGCCCACGGAAAGGTTAAGGACCCCAGAGAAATCTCCCATGCTGTCAGTTTTGCTCTCCTTGAGGAAAACAATTGAACAAAGGCTTCTACAATGCAGTGCCTAAAAATCATTATACAATCCATTAGTTTCACAAAAAGACAATTACCCCAACAAATAGCTGTATTTTGTTAGTCTGAAATTGAAATATAAGCGAAAACACGTTTTATTCTATTTGACACTTTTGACTTGGATATGTTGGGCACCCAGAAGCTTTGCCATTGTGCTTTAAAAAGTTTTCAATAGGATCTTCAGAAAAGCATCACCTTAGGCACTTCAGGGGTGACATATTAAAAAAAAAAAAAAAGCTAAAATTAATGAGAACACTCACCGCAATATTAAGAAGGAAAAGGTATTGTCCTCACTTCAAGGGAGCTGAAAATAAAACTTGAGTTTTCCCACTACTTGGCTGCTCTCCACAAAGAAAATCTCTACCTTAGTTATTTGTGTTGTGCTTGACACATCTAGGTTACCAAGGTATGGCTTGAAACTCAGACTCCATGTATTCAAGAATGCATTTTGATGGTGCTACCACCTACCTAAGTATCAGCATGTACAGATGTCAACAGTGAAATGTCCGATTTTCTGAGTCACACAAGACTTGTTTTAGAACAAAACCACTGCCATTACAGACAGCCAAGGCTGGCTTACACAGAGTGCCTCCAGCATACAATCTTAACCACCACAGGAATGGTAAGCCTAAAACTAGTTTGGACAAAAGCAGCAAAGAAGTAGTCCTAGAGCTTTAAAATGCTATTGATACTTAGCAGCATATAAACCTCCCAAAATAACTGGATTCAACAGCATAATATTAAGTCCCTTTTTATTGGTTTCTTCTGTGTTAGGCTACCAATTTCCCTGGTACACTACTGACAGTGTCCAACTTGATATGAAAACAAGGGTAGAGTATGAATAATACCAAAGAGAGGATATCCCCAGTTACACTGGTTTGTATCAAACCATCACATATCTCAAAGGTCAGGATCAAATTTTCCGTTGCCTGGCCAAAACTGCAAAGCTATATGATAATATTGGTGTAAATCTAAAAAAATATTGAGATGCTTAGTAGATTTTTACTGGGTCATCTTATCTTGGGAGAAATCTATCAAACCCAGTCGTTGGAAATCTGAACAAATATGCAAGATATAGTGCTCATACTAATTCATTCACAGTTTTTCAGAAGTGTTCATGTCAGTCTCCTGCAAACTGCAATTTTTTGGCAAATATTATTTCTCTGTATTTCTTATTCTACTCTTGAATTTGAAAGATTCTACATATGCCCAATAAACATAAAAAAATAATTTTGCAACAGTATGTACAATCTCAACACACAAAAGTAGTTTTTTCTCTCTATTCGTTCTACAGATCCTATGTGACCGTGTTCAATCTAGTTTATTTAAGATCTTTTTCCCATTCTTGAGTTATTTTGGTAGACCATGCACTATTATAAAGTTCTTCGCAATCAGGCAATGAGACCAAGCACTGATTTGAAGTAGATGAATGGAGCAATTTAAAGATGCATAATTGCTGCAGGAAAGGAGAATGTACTAGAATACTCACTTTGATGAATCTATGAAGTATATTACAAGAGCACCAATACTAAGAGCGAAGACTAAGACAACCTACAAAAGAAAAGAAAAGAGATTTAACAGTGTTAAAGTCAAACATTTACTCTTTTACACACACACACACAAAAAAAAGACAAGGAAAATTAATCATAAACTAATATTTTTTTTTTCCATTTCAGCTGTCATTTTCTTTAGAAAGCTGTTCCTACTTGAATTTCAAACACTATATCTTATCATAGAGTGTTTTCTTGCATTGAAAAAGAGAAACAAGTTGAATCCTAGCTCAGGGAAACCCAGTATACAATTAGGTCCTAAATCCTAACCTCTGCTAAACTTCGATTTCAAATGGCAAGCAATCCACCTGCATGGCATTCAAATCACACTGTAGCTTTATCAGACCCAAAACTGAAACAACAGATTCACCCAATAGCAGGAGTTTGAGCTGAAGAATGTCAAAATGACCATTTAATGCTGAAAATGAAATTTGAGGAACTTAACTTGTAATCTGCTTAGGCCTCTATAACACTCTTCTCATTCTTTCAAGTTTTGCAAAGTACACAAAGCTGGACTTTTGTTTTCCATTTCACGTAACAAGTCTTAGGTTACAACATTCAGCCATTGACTATTTGTTAAAGGAGTTGTCTAGGAAAAAAACCCAGCATAACTGTACACCAACCTTGTCTTTTAATTATATCCAATCCCATAATAATCATCACTGTGTTGCTTAAATAAAGTTATACAGATTCAGGATCTTCTTCCAAGACACATAAGGAATTTAAATGTTCTATGACAATTCATAGAATTGCCACTAAAATACAAATATCTAAATTTTGCAAGAAGCTCCAGATTCCCATGCTACACCAAACAGCAAAATGTGTATGCAAAACTACACCATTCCCCTACTGTAATATATATATGATTTTAAATCCAGTTTTGCTTTCTCTTCTGTTGTCCCAAAACACATATCTAACATTACAATTCATAATGTCCCCAAAAATCACAGAAAAAGCATCAGAAGATAATAGAATCTTAAATGCCATTTTTATCCTGCTAGCAGAGAAACACATATTTTTCCTTTGCTAAGTGACAGAGGTATTGAGTTGAAAACACCAAGTGTGTGGAAAAAGCAGGGCCTGAACCAATCAGGTTAGAGTTATATTAAATTCTTTAAAAATAAAATTAATACCCTTCCATGCTATATAAACTCATTTGATAGAGGCTCAGATGCAGGATTTTCCCTGTATTTCCATCTAAAAAAAGCTGAAAGCAACCTGGTTATTCAGACCCAGAAAAACAATTGGTGAGTTTAGGTCTAAATTCAGATTAGAGTCTTTGCTAGATTGTCATGGGAGATAATGCCTATTTTGGGAAACTTACTATGCTTGAAGAGAGTTAAGAACACAGTCTGATAACCCAAAATCATAGCAACTAGAAACTAAAGGAGGAAAAAACCCATATAAGTTTGTGAATTATTGCCTTTTTTGTTAACCAGACCATGGGGAGAGAAGCTTACTCGCTCTGTTTATTATTCCAATGCATTTGGCACAACATTGCAATTGCTACACATCTATTATAACTTCTCTCTGTCTGGAAGGAAAGAATGTTTTAATTTATAATAACTTACTGTTTGTTTAAGATTGAGAAATGTGAAGTCATATGCTAGCAGCCACACTGACTAAGCACTTAGTATCAAGTTAAAAATAAGCACTAATCTGATTAAAGGAGAGAGGGGGAAAAATACGGAATAGTTGCTGCCTATCCTTAAATCTTTCCTTACAAAAAAAAATCCAGACTCAAAGTTCAACAAAAGTCTACAATGCCTTTTTGAGGCAGGAGTCTGAGAAACTGCAGATAAAATCCACTTAAAGGAAACTGTAAAAAAAATGTTTTGCTTTCCACTGCTAGCAAGATGCTCCAGAAGAACTTTGACTGCTCTGTTGCAGTCAAACTATATACATCCACATTAAGGACAGAAAAGATAAAAAAATAATAATAAGGGTAACATAAGAAAGCTTCAGGGGAAGTACAGACATAGAGAAAATACTCTCAGAATTAAGCCATGATAACCATAAAGGGGAGCAGCACACCTTCCAGGACCAGGCCTATGTAACAAAAATGATGGTATTGATAATCCAACGGGTGGCACTGTTTCCCCTGCAACTGCATTGAATTAATGTTCTGGCATTATTGAAGAAATATGGGAAAATGGAAAGGCTGTTCACATTAGAGAGGAGGGCTACGGTGAACACATCCACAACAATGAGTAATAAAAGGACTCTAGAGCAGGAACTTCATCTCTCATTACCCTGTAACATCTGAACGTTCTGTGGAACATAAAACAGAACTCATTGAAGTTTCAAAGGCAAATTCTTGCTTATACAATATTGAACTATCCAAACATCATTACTACAAAAGAGCATAGAACTAAGAGGTAAAGCAAGAAATTAAAATGGAATAGTTGTCTATTTCTATATTCCTCTCAACATCAAGTATTAAAATAAGTACACAGCAAAACCAAAAACCTTTCAGGAATCCTGTAACCCCTAACACATCAGGGCACCAGAGAGTCCTTTTTTTTGTTACCTGATGACGATCTTTGCTGTATTGCTCTTCAGAGATGCCTGTCTGAAACTCTTTTTATTCTAAGGTTAGATTTTTCAACCCTAAAACTACTATACTGCTTAGAATATATTAAGTTGTTAATTATTAATATTTTTAGAATTTCACTTAATTTCTATATCCATACAGTAAATACCACTAATGAGCTACTGAGCTTCTTATTATGATGCTTTGAAATAAAGCTCTATTAGATTTTATATTTCAAATTGCCAAAGAATATATATTATTTCTTATGACCATAAAGCTATGTTCTCATGGATCCATTAATTTTGGAACACCACATTTTGCAGTACTGTCAGTAGCCTGAAGCTTTGATCTAATTTCAATGAAAATGTACACAATTTATATATGAAAAACAAACTTCCTTTAACCATAAAAATGGGAATCAATTGTACTTCTTTCACAGATAAATAGAATTTACTTGTCTGGATTTGTTAGGAAAAAAACATGCATTCTAAGGACACATCAACTGCAAGTTACATTTAAGTAGGAATTCCTTAATCCTTGCTTGGCAACTCCAGCATTAATTTGAAGACTTGAATATACACCAGCATCTTTGAAATTATCACAGTTTGACAAAAGTAAGACTTGAGCAAATCTAGACCACAGAAAAGCCAAAATGGCTTACTTAAATTGATGTCTCATTAACTGATACCCTATACGCAAACAACAAAATTCAGAAAGCATTCCGTGTAGGCAAAGCCACAAGTGGTAAGAAATTATGCACTGCAGCTGATATAAACAGCTGAGCAATTAATATCTCTTAGGTTACTATAAATACAAATTAAATAAGTGCTATTTACTATAATGCAATACAGATTCTTGCTCTAAAAATAAGTGTTCTCCACTCTTTTTTTTTTTTTGGTAGCACTTAATTCATTAAGATGTTTTTATTAATATGACCTTTGGACACATCACAGTGAACTAATTCATATTAGTTCAGCCAACAAAATATTCTTCAGAACATTATGATTGGTCAAGACACAAAATGTTATATATATTTTTATAGCAATCAATCTTCAGAACATTATGATTGGTCAAGACACATAAAATATTATATATATATCAGTAGTAAATTTTTGTTTAGAGGCTTTTCTTTCACTATATCCTGATACCCACGAGTGAGGATCTCTGAAATCCATCAGCAAGATGTAATACCATGCTCCGGATTGAGCTGTACACTGACTTTTCTCTGGGCTTAAACACATCGCCCTGAATCCAGTCTTTCTGCTTCTGCTCTTTATCTGGTCCCTCCCAGCCCAATGTATAACTAATTAAACCAACAAAGATAAAAGTACAAAATATCTACCATCTATTTTATGAGGTCGTGAGAGGCTCTTAAAAGGTCATTCTACCTCATTCAGGTTTGCAAGATCATATTTCTTACTGATGAAACGCGCTCTTAATATCTTCCAGAACAACTTTATACAATACCAGCTTCTCTTTAAAGAAAACTATCTAACCATGCACCAGTAGCCATGAGCCCTTACAAGAGCAAACCAGGCAATACAATCAAATGAGGCCTGAAGTGGGTGAATAGGAGGAGAACAAGTGGCAAAATAATGAAAAGAGAAAATAAGATTCCATCTTGTTCCCACCAGCAAAAAAATAATAAATGAAAAGTTCAAACAAGGATTCTAGCTAACTGGGAAAGTTCCCATTGCTTACCTTTTATTCACAAATATAGGGAAACAGATTTTGCAGCTAATATACTCTTTATATAAGAGCCATGCTTGATAGAACATAATGCTGTGAAGAAGCAGCAGTGATATATGCATTGGCTCTCATGTGAGTACAGGCAAAGCGTAAATTCTACAGCCAGCACCTGCTGCTGACAACAGGATACAGGTTAACAGCTATGAAGCTCAAGGGGGGTGTCTGCTGGGTGGTGTTCTAGCTAGTAATCTGTCTTGGTGACTAATTGATTCTGCCATTTTGCATGCAGAAGAGGCAGGTGGTGCAGGGGAAAAATAAAATAAATAAATAAGAAACCACAAGAAAATCTCCCAATACCCCAAAACCCACATTTCTACTATTTATTCTGTACTTTGAATGTCAGATAGGATTCAACATCTGATTCTAGAAGGAACTAAGCACCTCCAAGCTAGACAGTGAGCAACCCCACCTTTCAGCGAAGTCAGAAAGGGTTCAAGAGCACATAAGTTTGAAAAGCCTTTACTAACTCTTAGTTTTGAGCCTGAAGCAATTAAGATACTAAATCCAAACTTTGCAATTTTGATAACCACATTAAAATTTCTTAGAACCCAAACACTGAACAATGCTTGCATGCAAGTTATTTCCTGTCAATTACATTTTCTGCTTTTAAATGTTGTTTACCTTTATTACACAACAAGGAATTAACTAAAAAGTTAATTAGCCATTAAATTCTAAAGTAAATAAATTAGTCACCAACATGCATTAGAAAGAGTACTGAA